AAAAAAAAAAAAGAAAAGAAAAAAGAAAAAAGAAAAATTCGTCCACGCAACTAACGACTATCGCGAATCAAATCTTCCTTTTCTGTTTCTTTTTTTCTTTCTTTTTTTTTTTTCTTTCTTTTTTGTTTCTTGGATGGAATCCGTTCCTTATTGGCTTAAACAACACGAACGCGCGAGCTCCTTTGAACACGTTTAACACGAATCTCTGTAAACGTCTCCCCCTCCCCATTTTTGTCCCTTTTTTAACTCTTATTAGAAATATCAACGTTCGATTATAATATCGTTAAGATTATCATAAAAATTCTGATTTTTCTCTCTTTCATCATCTCTCCCTCCCCTCCCTCCCCCCATCTCCCTCTCTTCGATTATCCCTGTCATCATCCTCTTATTGTTCCAACACGCTGCTCCACTTCGATAATCCTCGTCCCGAAAAAAAGAGGAAAAAAAAAAAAAAAAAAAATATCCCTCCAAACGCGAAATCGTTACACCTTTCTCTCCTCTCGCGTCCTCCTTTCATGCATTACTTGATTCCAACACGTGGCGCGCGCGATTCGATCTCTCTCCCCTTTATTATTACACTCTCACTCCCGTTCCAAGCCACGATTTCTTTCTGTCCCCCGATTTTGCTCGATCATCAACCGTTCATCTTCCGTGCGAGCGAAATTCCTCGTACCATTCTCCCTTCCTTCACCCCTCCCTTCGCTAAATGCAAATAAGAAGCGAAACAAACGAGCGACAACAACGCAGCGAGAAAAATGCATCGATTTAAAACAAATGGCATCGATCAGTATCGATTTTCGTGATCTCGCGGAAGAAATCAACCAATCATCGCGATTCGTTAATAAAATGAAATAATCACGAACGAAAATTCGGTGAATGATGAACGTTGAAAAGAAAGGTGAAAGAGGATCTGTTCTGGATTCTCGACGCTATTTTCGATGCTATCCGATTTTTTGTGCGAGGGGCCAGCAATCCCTTAACGATTATTATTATTATTATTATTATATTTTTAACTCTTTTTTTTCTTTCTCTCCCTTTTTCTTTTTGTGCGCCTCTATACATTCAATCAATCATCATCGCAACGACCAACGGTGCCCTAGTATAAGTAATATCTTTGGTATCGTGCCTGAGTCTTCCATTCGTAAGAAGGATCACTAAGGGAGTTTTTTTTTTTTTTTTTTTTTTTTTTTCTCTCCTTTTTCTTTAATAGAACCTTAATCGGATAAAATCGCGCGAACTCGGTTTTATACTTTTATTTTTTTTTCTGTTTTTTCTTTTCTCTCTCTCTCTCTCTTTCTCTCTCTTTCTCTCTTTCTCTCTTTCTCTCTCTCTCTCTAGTATCATCGTATCAAACTTAGAAAACGTCCATTCCTCTCCGACAAAGTGTGAAAACAAGCCGATTAAAAATACTCTACCTATACCGGAGGTACAATTAGATATTTTGCAACGACGAGAAGTGTCGGATCGATAAATACATGGCAGCTTCGAAACGCGCATTTGCATCTACGCGCGCGCGCGTGTGTGGGTGTGGGTGTGTGATTGCGTGTATGTGTGTGTGTGTATAATATAAACGTGTGTGATAACGCGTGTACAAATCGAGTCTCCCCCTTTTTTCCCTTGTCTCAACGTTTTTTTTTCGTTTCACGCGCACGATGGACGACGCCTTGCATCCTCCTTCTTTTCATGGACGCATGCGAACAAACAGTCTTTTGCCAGGAACGTGAATGAATCCCGCAGGCCCTTGCGTTGATTATCGTTATCATTATCATTATCATTATTATTATTATTATTATTATTATTATTATTACTATTACTATTANACCGATCGGCGTATATAATACGAATACGAGAAAACGCCTAATAAATTTTGTTAACAAACGTTGTTTTGTTGTTAAATCCTCGGTGTAATTTTGTTGTACTCGGTGTAATTGTGTACGTGTCGAATAAGAACGGAAAAATTAATAATCGAAAAAGTGAATCGTGAAGGCGGCGAATGACGGACACTCTCGCTCGATTGTTCACATGAAATCGAGATTTCAACTCGGCAAACTTTAACTCGGCGACGAAGATGAGACGAAGAGTAGACGAAGAGTGGATGAGCGGAAAAATTCGGATATATCGGGGTGTTGAATCGGGGTTTTTAATTTTTTGGGAAGGGGGGAAGGAGAGGGGGAAGCGGCTACGATTGTTTTATGAAAGCACGACCGATGAATTCTCTGTGAACAAAGGATCGTCGAGTTCATCGCCGCGTCCATCATCGTTTCTATTTGAAATTCGTCGAAGAGAGTGATACTATACATCTCTCCTCATCTCGTTTTTCTCTTTCTTTCTCTTTCATACACACACTCTCTCCCTCCCTCTCTCTCTCTCTCTCTCTCTCTCTCATAATACATCTCACATACATACATTCGCTTTTTCTCCCTCTATCAGTCATTTCCTTTCGCTCTCTCGCTTTCTCTCCCGCTTTCTCTCAACGCCTAGAAAAACACCTCGTCATATAGTATATATCACATACGCGTTACTTCTAAACACACTGAAATAAGAAGCACTTTAAGATAGATGTCTACGTGTACCATCGGGCCCAGATTCTTAGATGGACTGATTCTCGTTTCTCCCTTTACAAATCACTGCAGCTCATAGAACTCTTTTATTAAACTCCTTCGTATATGTTATTTGTTTCTTCTCTCTCTTTCTCTCTTTTTTTTTTTGTATATAACGTGAATTTATTTACATACAAGTCCTATATGCCTCTTTCCTTTCTTCCTTCCTTCCTTCCTTCCTTCCTTCCTCCTCTCTGGCTAATGTCTCTCGTGTCTCTGATTAAACACCTCCTCTTTTAGACACATCTCACACACGCACTTTCTTTTCTCTCTTCCTCTCTCTCTCTCTCTCTTTCTCTCTCTCTCTTATCTCTCTGTATTACGTATATGTGCAGGTGGTGAAACGCGTGTTTCCGAAACGTACGAGAAAATTAGGAATCCGTGGGAATCTCTCGGCGGTAACTCCGTTTCGTCAAACTGCCTGACACTTAAAGAGAGTCTTGCTTGATTAATCAACACATCGTAAAGGCGACGTGACGATCTCCGCGATTTTACTCCGTGAAATCCGTCGATCGTGTGTATGTGTGTGTATGTGTGTGTGTGTGTGTATGTTTATGGCACGATGCCATGACTGCTACGAAGTATCAATGGAATATCTCATTTTCTCGTTCTCTCGAACCTTGGTCGAGAGCGTTAAGAGAAGAACAAGAATCGGCTCGCGACGGCCGATTAATATAATCCCTTAATAAATTTTTTTCGAGGCACGCGGTAGTATTACGCGAACAATAATGGCACTGTCAATCACTCGCGTTTAAATATTACAATATTAGAAAAATCGCAAGTCGAGTCCGACGATAGTCTCTTTTAATTGACTTCACGAGAAGTAACCTTTGTCGTAATACTACGCGCGGGTATCGTATAATATTAGTAATAATAATAATAGTAATAATAATAATAATAGTAATAATAATAATAATAATAGTAATAATAATAATAATAATAATAATAATAATAATAATAAGAAACGATCGATATAAAACGGCGGAGATCGCCACGATTCCATCGCGAACGATTCGACGCACGATCTCGCCGATCGAGCCTGACCACCGAGCGAAGCTCGATCAACGCGCCTTCATCTCACCTCCTTCCTCTTCTATAAGGAATAATATATATATATATACACTCTCTTCTCCTTCTTGAAAAATCTCTCTCGAACCTTTCTTTGTTATGTGATCTTCCTCGACGAAGCGGCGCGAAGCGTGATGGCGGTGGTGGTGGTGGTGGTGATGCGGCGATGATCACTTACTCGGTAATCCTGGTAGACCGGATCGAAGCGCGTATCGGTGATTCCGACGGTCTGAAAGGCAACCGAGGATCAAGTGGGGAACGCAAGGAGCGCGGAACGAAAGGGA